CCGGGCGGTGGTGGCGCAGGCCTTTAATCCCAGCACTCGGGAGGCAGAGGCAGGCGGATCTCTGGGAGTTCGAGGCCAGCCTGGTCTACAAGAGCTAGTTCCAGGACAGGCACCAAAGCTACAGAGAAACCCTGTCTCGAAAAACCAAAAAAAAAAAAAAAAAATTTATTTTCAGCTGGGTAGTGGTAGCACACTTGAGGCAGAGGCAGAAGGATCTCTGAATCTGAGGCCACCCTGGTCTAGGTTAAGTTCCAGAACAGCTAAGGTTGTTACACAGAAAAACCCTGTTTCAAAAAAACAAATCAAACAAAAACAAACAAAAAATGTACATTTGACAAAAATGTATTTGTCAAATGTATACTTTTTATTTACACACACACACACATCATGTTTGCGCATGGTACCCAAGGAAGTCAAAAGAGGGCAGCAGATCCCTTGGAACTGGAGTTACAGATGATATACCATATGGGTGATGGGAACTGAAACCAAGTCCTATGCATGAGCAAGAAGTATTTTTAACCTCTGAGCCCCAAGGAAAAAGCTATTTTTGTCCCCGGGATGTTGCAACAGACACTGAAGCCAGCATTGCAGGATGCCCATGACTCCCATATATGCGTCATGACCCTCATCAACAGGTATGCATGTGAACATACACATAATAAATAAATACAAATTTTAAAAACTGTTATTTTTTTCTCTTTTATTTTGGCACTAGGGATATCAAACTCTGGGACACACGCATATTAAGCACATGCTCTATCGCTAAACTACAATCCTCATCCGTTTAATCCAAAATCTTATTTATTTCAAAAGTTTGATTCAGAAAGAAACCATACTTACTTCTTTTGGAGTATGGTTATCAGCAATTCTCTGACCTTCAAATAGAAACCTGAGTGAATTCATTGGAACTCCCTAAAAAAAGAAAGTGTGTGTAAAAATCTTGGGTTTTAAATAACTATTATACTCTAAAAACAAACAAACAAACAAAAAAAAAAACCCAAAACAACATAAAGGCTTAACAAGCTACATTGATCATAAAATTAGATTACCAATTCAACCATAATTACCATATAATGAGAATCAATTATTTGTTAGGAAGGCTATCTTGTACCAAGTACTTTACTTGCAGTCATAAATAAAGCTCTTTGTAAAGACTCAAGAGGTATTACCACCTCATCTTCAGTTTACAACTAGGGAGCTTATGGCCTGTAGATAAAAGAAGTTAGCTAAGAATTTTAGCCAAAATGATTAATAAGCCTTTCTTCCCAACCATATTGTATTCACTTCCCCCTAAGTCTAAGCTAGCATAAAAGAAAATAAGGCTGGTTGGTGGTAGCACACACCTTTAAAACCACACTCGGGAGGGAGGCAGAGGCAGGCTTATCTCAATGAGTTTCAGGACAGCCAAGGTTGTGTAAGAGAGACCCTGCTTCAAAACAAACAAGCAAAATTTCAACCTTGGTTATCTCTAATGTACTGTTTTTCTTGTTTTGGTTTTAATTTTTTGAGACAGGGTTTCATGAAGCTCAGGCTGTCCTCGAATTTCTTTAATAGTGGAGGATAACCTTGAATTCTTGACCTCCTCCTATCAGTATTGGGATTACAAGTTATCCCTCATACCCAGCATGAACTACACTCTTACATATGCTTACACACACACACACACACACACAGAAACACACATCTGTGTATTTGAGGCAGGAACTTACTATGTAGCCCTGGATATCCTGAAACATTTTTAGCTGAAGCTAAAGATTATTTATTCTTGAACTTCCAATTTTTATTTAATATTTGTGAGCATAAGATGTATGAATATAGACAACCATACAGATACTTTTACATATATAATTTATGTTCACTGGTGTTTTGCCTCATGTATGTCTGTGTGAGGGTGTCAGAAGCCCTGAAACTACAATTATAGACAGGTATGAGCAGCCATGTAGTTGTGGGGAATTGAACCCAAGTCCTCTGGGAGAGCAGCCAGTGCTCTTAACCACTGAGCCATCTCTCCAGCCCCCATACAGATTTTTTTTAAAAGAGAAATTATCTTGACATATGCTTGAAAATAAGTTAAATAATTAGCAGCAATCTATATTATGTACAAAGAAAAAATACTTTTAATTTGTTTGTTTTGTTTTGTGTTTTTTTTTTTTTTTTTTTTTTTTTTTTTTTTGCTTTTTTTTGTTTTTTTTTTTTTTTTTTTTTTTTTTTTTTTTTTTTGCTTTGTCTTGTTCTTCGAGACAGGGTTTCTCTGTGTAGCTTTAGAGTCTATCCCGGAACTTGCTCTAAAGACCAGGTTAGTGTCAAACTCACAGACATCTGCCTGCCTCTGCCTCCCAAATGCTGGAATTAAGGCATGTACCACCACCACCAGGTAAGTATTTACTTTTTTATAGGGTGTTTTGCCAGCCTATATGTGTGTGCACCATTTGTGTGCAATCCTCACAGAAGGGCATCAGATCCTCTAGGACTGGAGCTGCAGATGGTTATGAGCCATCAACTGGGTACTGGAAGAGCAGTCAGTACTCTTAACTGCTGAATCGTGTTTCTGGCCCCAAGAAAATATATTAATTATAGATTTAAATTTGATATAAATGACCTAAACCTCATAGAAGCACATGGAAATTTCACAATAATCACTAAAAAGGCTTGCCTTTATTGTTATATACAGTTGCAAACCATCAAAAATATTCATCTGAGCAATCAGTAAAAGTGAGTTACTTTCAAACGTTTTCTATATCCTACTAATCTGAAATGGGTCACAAAATGAACCATGCACTAGCAATGACAGACAACACTACGCTATTTCCCTTAAGTTTCTAATGGTGAAAACAGGATACACTTCAACAACCTTCAGTAAGGAAGCGCTGTATTTAACATCACAGTATACAAACCTGTCTTTGACAGTACGACTCCTTGAGTTTCTTGAGATGTGTTGTCATTTTCACTTTGAAATGTATCTCACTGCTATCCTAAGGAGATAAAGGGAAACATTATTCCTTCTTTTTCTACACTACTTAGCTAACTTGAACCATATTATTTAATTACGTCTTGTTACAGTTTTCTCATAATCTTTTTAGCATTCCTAACTAGTTTCATTAAAAGCAATCTAGTCAAAAATCCAAATTAGCTTTTAGCAACTCACTATAAAAATAGCAAGCCAAAGATGTTTTAGGTATCAAAATTATTAATGTAAATTTGTATGCCAAGCAAAAGCATTCTTTCATTACATCATATCCGTAAAAATACTATAAAAAATAAAATGAACTGTTACAAACCCTTATAAGCAATAAAAAGAAAACATACTGGGGGCTGGAGAGATGGCTCAAAGGTTAAGAGCACTGGCTGCGCTTTCAGAGGTCCTGAGTTCAATTCCCAGCAACTACATGGTGGCTCACAACCATCTCTACTGAGATCTGGCGCCCTCCTCTGGCGTGCGGGCATACACTGGGGCAGAATGTTGTATACATAATAAATAAATAAATCTTTAAAAAAACCCATACTATCCCATTCATACCAACTAGTTTCCCTAGGGGGTGTCAAACCTAAGAGAAAACAAACTTTTTTTTAAAGTTATTTATTATGCATATAATGTCTATCAGGGAACTCCTGTAGCGGGGAAGGGAGGTGTAAGATCCAGAGTAACAGCAGACACTAACATCCTAAGCAACTGAGCGTGCTCACTGCGTCCATATACCACACTCTAACAGCAGACACTAGCATAAGGAACTGAGCACACTCGCTGCATCCATATACCACACTCAAAGCAATAAAAAAGAAAAAAAGAGTAAGAAGACGGCTGGGGATATGGTTTTGCCAGGCCCTAGATTCCACTACACACACATATTTAGACACAGTAAGCAGACCTCCCCCAAAAATAACACTTTCTCAACAATCAAGGAAATGTATAGGCAAAACTGTCACAGTGACATTGATTTCACACTTGGAAGAGGATGGAAAACTATCACACTGTGATGGTGAAGGGTGTACCATTTCACTAATTCCGATCTTCTAAAAGAAGTAACAACATGCCAATGCACATGTTTTTAACTCCAACACTTGGAGGAAGACACAATTGCATCTTTGAGTTTGAAGCCTGGTCTGTGTAGTAAATTCAAGACCAAGCAAGAGTACAGAGTGAGACCCTGTCTCAAAAACATTATCAACCTCTTTTACCCCCAACAGATACATGTACAATAAGGGAAAATTCATTTTTTTAAAAAAATAAATTATTTATTTATTATGTATACAGTATTCTGTCTGTGTGTACGCCTGCAGGCCAGAAGATGGCACCAGACCCCATTACAGATGGTTGTGAGCCACCATGTGGTTGCTGGGAATTGAACTCAGGGCCTTTGGAAGAACAGGCAATGCTCTTAACCTCTGAGCCATCTCTCCAGCCCCGGAAATGCAATTAAAATAACATGTCCTACCTAATGTTTTTTCCTAATGTCAAATGAGAAAAATAATGAAACTCACCTGTCCAATAACTTTGAGCTTAATGTATTCTCCTTCCTTCTTATCCCCTAAGTCCTCAGTTGAAGGTTTTGCCTCCTGAAAGAAATTTCCAGATTAACAATTATAAATACTCTGCTGTTTATGAGCATCCATTACTTTCCCCCAGGTAACAGACTCTGCATCTAAAAATACAGAGCACACTTATTTCCCCAACACTCAATTACTCTTCAAACTCCCCATTCACTAAAAATCAATAAAGCCCCCTCATTTATTTATTTTCTATGTATACAGTATTCTGTCTGCATGTATGCCTGCAGGCCAGAAGAGGGCAGCAGATCTCATTACAGATGGTTGTGAGCCACCATGTGGTTGCCGGGAATTGAACTCAGGACCTCTGGAAGAGCAGCCAGTGCTCTTAACCTTTGAGCCATCTCTCCAGCCCCCAGTCCAAGTTTGTTTGTTTGTTTGTTTTTAACAGCATTGTTTCCTACAGTAAAAATCTAAAATTTAACCATGTCTCAGTCAGTCACCCTAAGGACTTAAGACAAATTAATGAAAATGTTTCTAACAAGTTAAAGGTGACAAAGATGCTGGTGTCAAGAGGAGCAATTTGGAAACTCTTGCCCTAAAGTCAATTCCTCTTAACTAGGAGTTCATCCTCCTAGAGTTCTTTTTTTTTTTTTAAATATTTATTTATTATGTATACAACATTCTGTCTGTGTATATGCCTGAAGGCCAGAAGAGGGCACCAGACCTCCTTACAGATGGTTGTGAGCCACCATGTGGTTGCTGGGAATTGAACTCAGGACCCTTGGAAGCAATGCTCTTAACCACTGAGCCATCTCTCCAGCCCCCCTCCTAGAGTTCTTAGTAAACATTTTGAATCTAAGAGTATGTTCTCACGGTCTATCCTGAGGCAACCTCCTATACCAAGATATGGAAATATATCACAAGCAAAGGCTATTTAGAAAGGACAATCAAATAGGAAAGTATTGGTCTAAATACTAGTGTCAACATGAACAAGGGACAGGATGCCTGGTTTTCATTCAGCTGTGCTTTTAATGCTTGCAGACTGGATATTTGCAGGCAAAATTAACTTCTTTAGTCACAGTACTTCACCTGAAAAATAGGTGACTATCTTCAACCACTGTCTTGCCATATTTCTATGAATTTATAGTCATACTGAAGAGCTGCTTCTTCCTGCAAGTATCCAGAGAGCAAAGAGCTTATTCTCTGTGGTGAAGGGCAATAAAAGGCAACCCAACCCTGAATCCCTTTAAGAGGAGGAGAGGAAGTGAGTTTTGTTTACGTTGGCACAAAAGATATTCTAGTTTTGTCTAGGCTAATAAGGCAACATAGAAGATACTCAGAAACAAAAAACAATCCCCCCTCCTCTCTCTATTCAAACACCCACAGACCTCTCCTTCTAAAGCACAGTTTTCTTGAATCCTATAATACTCAAAAAGCATAAATGGCTTCCAACACCTTAAGGTCTAAAAACAAACTCCACAACATTTCAATACATACATCGCTGCCCCCATTCTCACTTTTCTCTCTCATTCCTTTTAGTAACCCAAGAAATCTCTTCACTGTTTGCTAAAGACTCATCTTTGTCTATGCCACGTTAAAACAGCCTAACCAAGGCAAGTAATAAAAGAAAGCCTTCAACTGAGTTTACAGTTCCGTAAGATCAGAGTCCATGACGGTAAAGCAAAGGTGAGGTGACAACAACAACATCTCAATACAAGGAGGAGGTGGAGAATGGGCACTAGGAATAGCTGAGTTTTTGAGACCTTAAATCCATCCCCAATGACACAACTTCAACAGGGCCATACCTCCTAATTCTTCCCAAACAGTCATCAACTAGGGACCACCCCCCCCAACTATGTCCATCGCCTTCTCCCATCTTCGGCCGTGTATGGCCTAGTTTCCTTTGCCTGAAGTAAAGGTATCTTTCCTGAAATCAATTCAGAGATGTACCCTCAGATCAGCTGAAGTCTACTACTGAAAGGCCTTCTTAGATCACAGCAGTCTCCCAACCACTATCTTTCTTTAATGCCTCTACTTGCAGTTCTTTCCCACAAAAAATGCTACTATGTGGGGGCTAGAGAGATGAGTAAATGAAAACACTTGCTGCCAAGCTCGACATCCTAAGAGCAATCCCGGAGAAGCACACAGTGGACCCAACTCCACAAAGCTGTCCTCTCAGGTCCAGGTGAACTCAGGGCACCCACAAAAAAAAAATGTAATACAAAGTTTGAACTACTATGTTGTCTTTTGTTTTTCCTTTCTGGGGGATTGAGACTGGGTCTCACATGAGTGTAGACATGTGCCAACACTCAGCTAATCTATGTATTTTAAAAATTCAGTACAGTATATATGCAAGGTGTGATTGCAGAGACAAAGGCAGGAGAATCACTGTGAGTTCAAAACCATCCTTGTCTGTTTCAAATAAATAAAGTACAGTACAGGACCTCTTGATGGGATGTAGGTTACACAGACGTCTTCCATCTGCAAACCTTTAAATAACCGGACCTAGATAAGGCAAGAGAACATAACTCCACCCTTCCTCCTTCCTTCCTGTTTTTTCCTTCAGATCCTTATTAACTGCAAAAAGGCAACTAAATGCAAGGAGAAGAGGAGGCAATCACATATCTTTAAAGATATGTTGCAGGAATATGCAAATTTTTGTTTTGCTTGAGATAGGGTTTCTCTGTAGCTTTGGAGCCTGTCCTGGAACTTACTCTGTAGACCTGGCTGGCCTCTAACTCACAGAGATCCTCCTGCCTCTGACTGCCTTTGTCTCCAGAGTGCTGGAATGAACTAAAGACATGTGCCACCACTGCTGACTAGAGCATACAAATCATGAACTACAAGACTAAGATGATCAGTAACAGTATCTGTGTGAACCTGCCCACAAGTCTGTTAAATCATGAGCTACAAGACTAAGGTGATCAGTAACAGTATCTGTGTGAACCTGCCCACAAGTCTGTTAAATCATGAGCTACAAGACTAAGGTGATCAGTAACAGTATCTGTGTGAACCTGCCCACAAGTCTGTTAAATCATGAGCTACAAGACTAAGGTGATCAGTAACAGTATCTGTGTGAACCTGCCCACAAGTCTGTAAAACTTGAATGATCACAATTATCTAAGTAAATATCCACAATTTCAGAGAATTCCCGAAGAGAATGCTAAAGATGTTTTGAGAGACTGTTATCTACAACACTTCGGAGCCTGGCTAAAGAGGGCTCAAGGTTAAGGGCACTGGCTGCTCTTCCGGCAGACCCAGATCCAGCTCCCAGCATCCATGTGTGGGCTCACAATCATCCTTAACTCCTGTTCCAGGAGATTTGATGCTATCATGACCTCTGGAACCACCAGGCACACACACAGTACATATACATACATGCAAGCAGAATACTCACACACATAAATTAAAATCTTAAGAAACAAATTAGAAAGATACTTATGTAAGGAATATTTTATGTAAGTGCTATAACAGAGCTAACCTAACTACTATCCCAGGAGGCAGAGGTCTACATAAAAGGGAGTTTCAGAATAACCAGGGCTACATGGAGTAGAGATCATTTCAAAAAAAAAAAAGTTTTACAGTTTTGAAATTTCAACTACTCAACTGTGAATACTTTAACCATAACTATTATATTATTTCGATATATTATAAAATAGCTGTTATATTCTAACTGAAGTGCTCCATTATATTCAGTTGGTAATACCCACTAGCAGCACCTCACTCAGTCAGAAAGATGACAGACTTGACGGACTGCGCAGCACTCCTCTACTAGGAAATGGAATGCCAAAGGTACCCACCATTAAGTAAATGCTAAAGTAACTGCTATAGTTTAGTATGTTCTATGATATTAATGGTACATAAAGCTTAACATTTTAATATACATCCATCACTTATTTTCCTGAAAACTCAAACTGTTGCCAAGATCAGCAGAGATTAATAACAAGAACCTATAAAGAACATTGCAGAAACAAATGTTACAACAGCAGCAGAAATACAAGTCATGTGGCTGACTAAAGATAACTTCAAGTTCTTTCTTACTCCTATTGAGAAATGAGACACATCTTTCTCATGAATCTGGGCACACCTTAGGGATTTGACTGATTTAATACAGGACACAATCATAAAGTCAGGGAACAAGAAGTTTATTTCCAATTGGGTTGATTTTATTTTGTTTTTGTTACACTAAAGGTAAAGTTGCTTTTGATGATTTGGTATAAAATGGAAAACAGTTCTAACTATAAGAAAAGAAAAAGGGAAAATGTTAGTTCAAATTACTCTTATTCCTTTCATATTATACTTCTAGTTTTGATGAAATGTGAAATTAGGCTAAGCAAACTCCTATGAATGGTTATAGGATGACCCTCATCTTTTGGGATAATCATGTAAATAAATAGGATGAGAACTTCAGTATTTTAAGCTCATCAATCATCACAGAGCAATAGTTCCTAAATCTAGTACCACACTCTCAATGATGTAAAATCCCATCAGTTGGCAACTGTGGCACATACCCTTTGTCCCAGAACTGGGGAGGCAGAGGCAGGCGGATCTTGAGTTTGAGGACAACTTGATCTACAGAGCAAGCACCACAACTGGAGCTACACAGAGAAATCCTGTCTTGGAAAACTATATAGATAAAAAATGACCCCTTAGGGGCTGGAGAGATGGCTCAGTGGTTAAGAGCATTGCCTGCTCTTCCAAAGGTCCTGAGTTCGATTTCCAGCAACCACATGGTGGCTCACAACCATCTGTAAAGAGGTCTGGAGCCCTCTTCTGGCCTTCAGGCATACATATAGAATATTGAATACATAATAAATAAATAAACGGAAAAAAATCTGTAAAAATAAAAAAAAGATCCCTTAAAATGTTAGAATACATTTTTTTCAAGTCAAAAATTCCTAAAAGAAGCACTATTTCATACTGATGCACATTGCTTTAATGTGTAGCTCAATTAAAAAGACTTGTTTTGCCAGGCAGTGGTGATACCTGCCTTTAATCCCAGCACTTGGGAGGCAGTCAGGTGGATGTTTGTGAGTTCAAGGCCAGCCTGGTCCACAGAATGAGTTCAGGACTCAATGACTCAATAGCTACTGAGAAACCCTGTCTCAAAAAAAAAAAAAAAGATTTGTTTTGCCAGGTCTGGTGGTAGACATCTTTAATCCCAGCACTTGGGAGGCAGAACCAGGAGGATCTCTCTTGAGTTCCAGGACAGCCAAAACTACACAGTAAGACCTTATGTCAAAAACAAAAAAAGAAAAAAGACTTGCTTCCATTTTTCTGTCATATTTCTAAAAATCTTTACTGACCATCCATGAAAGAATGACAAAATTTAATTAATTACACACCAACTAGCCAGGTATGACAGCAAACTCTAATCTCAACTACTCTGCAAGGCTGAGTGAGGGAGGAGTATTCCAAATCCAAAAACAGCTTGTGCTACAGAGTCAAGTTCAAGACCAACCTAGGCAACTTAATGAGACTAAGCAGGAGAGATGGGGTTTGAGCTCAGGGATACAGAGCCAGTCCAATGCCCAGTAATCTCAGTGGGGTGAGTACTACATCTAGTGCAGTTTCACAGGCCCTGAAAACAGCCTGTGTCCTACGTTCTTCATATTCTTAAATGACGTGAGTTCAAACTAGAGCAAAAATAATTGTAAAACTTATTCCATAACTCTTTCATCAGGCCAGCACGCCTTCTAGTTTCTTCTGAAATAAAAGGCTGAAGAAACTAAGCATTTACAGCTGATCTTTCCTCCTTTACTTGTAACTAAGAAAACAACTGTCTGGGGAGATATTCATGAAGTCATTTCTATCCAGATTAAATAGAAATTAATCCAGATTATTAATAATCAAATCCACCCCACAACTAATCTACAGTATGAGTAGGCTAAAAATTAGAACCACCTTAGCCAGGCAGTAGTGGCGCCCACCTTTGATTCCAGCACTCAGGAGGCAGAGGCAGGCGGATCTCTGAGTTTGAGGCCAGCCTGGTCTACAGATTGAGTTCCAGGTCAGTCAAGGCTACACAGAGAACCCTGTACTGAAAAACAAACAAACAAAAAAATATAATAAAAATAAAAAATAAATAGTCCAACTACTCTGTAGAGTTGAAAGAAAAAGTTTACTGATTATCACTATAAATGTCAAAAAAAATACTTTGAAAATTCAAAGTCGTCTAAGCAAACAAAGACCAAAAGAGTTTTTTGTTTTGTTTTGGTTTTGGAGACAAGGTTTTTATGTAGCTTTGGAGCCTGTCCTGGAACTACCTCTTGTAGACCAGGCTGGCCTCGAACTCACAGAGATCCACCTGCCTCTGCCTCCCGAGTGCTGAGATTAAAGACATCCACCACCACTGCCCAGTTCAGACAAAAACTTTATGTATCAAAAACTACCCACAAATGTGGTAAACAATAACAGGATGAAGAAAAATTTAGGTGGCAGTGTTTCTACTTGAAGGTAAATAACCATGCAAATTCTTGACAGCGTTTCACTTTTTTTTTTGTTGTTGGTTTTTTTTTTTTTTCGAGACAGGGTTTCTCTGTAGCTTTGGAGCCTGTCCTGGCACTAGCTCTTGTAGACCAGGCTGGCCTCGAACTCACAGAGATCCTCCTGCCTCTTCCTCCCGAGGCGTGCGCCACCACCACCCGGCTCAGCGTTTCACTTTTAACTGGCAGTTTTCTGTAAAAATATTCTACAACTGCACAATACACAGTTTTTCTCTTTTCTCTTTATCACCTGGAAGAGGGGATATGGGGACGCATATAATCAAGATACATTGTTTAAAACGTATGAAATTGACTGTGAATAGGGAAAAAAAGGAAAGATGTGTTGTTTTGGAAAAAGTCAATCATCTGCAGGCTAATGCTAGATGAGATGGCTTGCTGGTGGTAGGACGCGAAACAGTTTCGTTGTTTCTCGGTTATTCAGAGCACTCCCACAGCTAGAGAGTTGATGGACCAATCCCGAGTAAGAAATGCAAAGTACAGAAAAAGAGTCGCTCGCTCCGCAGCCCCAGATGGAAAAAAAGACTCAGAAGGAACAGCGGCAGACCGGCCCTCCCCGCAAACACAACGGAAAGCGGCGTCTTCTGGGTTCCCGAGAACCTCAGGCCAGGCCCCTCGCCGCCCCCCGCCCTGCCCCGCCGCCGGAGACCCCAAGTGGAGCTGCGCCGCTCTGGGGGCCACCTACCCTCAGCTAGGGCCGCTATCCCGTTACATAACTAGGCCCGGGGCCCTGCTCCTGCCATCGATCGGCTCGAGGGAAACGGCCGTTTCCCCGGGGTCGCTCCCGGCGAGTGGGGAGCGGGCCCGGGCCCCCAGCGAACCCGCAGGAACCCGGGAGCCGTTGAAGGAGACGCGGCGCCGGGCAGCGGAACCGGGGGGGGCACCGCGAGGGCGGCGGAGGGCGGGTGCGCCCCGGAGCCCCGCGGTCTCCGGCGGCTCGGCCCCGCTCGGCCCCGTTCGGCCCGGCGCCCCTCGCGGCCCCCTCCCCGCCGGCGGCCCCCTCCCCCAGCTGCGCCCCCTCCCCCGCGCCCCAGTGCCCGGCCAAGCCCGCGGCCGACAGCCCGGAGCCCCGAAGCCCCGGCCCGGTACCTGATCAGACATGGTGACGGTGGCTTCTCCGGGGGTCTCCGCACCGCAGCGGCCTCCGGCAGGCTGAACCTCACTCTGAGGTTTACAAATCTGTCTCTTCCCCACAGCACAACACCGCGGCTGCAGGGACTTCCGCTACGTCTTGCGTCACTTCCGCTGCGCGCAGAGGAGCGTTGGGGAGGACGGGAAAAGGAGGCGGGAAAGCGCCCTGCGGGAGGCCGGGGGCGTCCGACCTGCAGAACTGCTTGCCTGGAGCGAGAGACTGGGTGTACGGCCGGCGGGAGAACCAGGCCCTCTATCTCAGCCCCTCGGGAGACCATGGCTTCGCCACCCCAGGCTGAATGTCCGGGGTCAAACTGACGCCCTAGACTCCTCCCTCTCGGACACCTTGCGCGCCTGAGGGCCGAGCCTAGATCGGTCTTTGTCTCCTCTTCCGCACGCCCCTGAGTACAGTGAGTTCCCGGGATAAAACTTTTACTACCACCTCTTGCTTGCTGCCGGCGCACTCATGACTTGGATTTAAAAACCACAACGAAAAGACGACCCCTTGGGACACACTTTTTGTTCTGTTTTGTGTTTTGAGACAGCGTCTATCTAACTACGCAGCCCTGGCTGTTCTAGAACACAACTATGTACATCAGGCTGGCCTCGAATTCACAAGATCCTCCTGCCTCTGCCCCCAGCTCTAGTACACAGTTTTGAGGGCTATAGATGACTAAAATGTTGTTGAAAGTTTTTAAATTGTAGGCAGAAGGAGCTACCCTCAACCCATTAATTAGTTGCCTTTCGTCACAGGAAGACTTAAAATTCTCTGACAACTACTATAACCTTGCACAGCATTCAATGAGGATTAAGAATAATCCCAGCACTCGGGAGGCAGAGGCTTGTGGATCCTTGCGAGTTCGAGGCCAGCCTGGTCTACAAGAGCTAGTTCCAGGACAGGCTTGATAGCTACAGCAAAACCCTGTCTCGAAAAACAAAAAAGGGGGCTGGAGAGATGGCTCAGTGGTTAAGAGTACTGACTGCTCTTCCAGGGGACCCGGGTTCAATTCCCAGCAACCACATGGCAGCTCGCAACTGTCTGAAGATCCAGATGCGGGGGGATCTGACACCTTCACACCAATGCACATAAAATGGAATTGAATAAACCATAAAAAAAAATATTTAAAAAAAAACTGTTGCGGGAGGTCTTTCCGCCCCTCCAACCAATAGATGCTGAGATACCAGCCCATTGGGGCGTGGTCTCTCCCTTTAAAAAAGCGGCTACTTCCTCCGCGGGACTAGACTCCCTTCCTGGTTGCACAGAGGGCTGTTGTCTGGGACGGTGATTTGTAAGTTTTTTTCCTCTTTAAATAAATACCACCCTATTAATCATAATTCCAAACTGGTGTGGCATTGTTCGTGACTTCAAAAAACCAAAGCAAAAAGAATATATATAAGTAAAGGGAATAAAATTGAAAGTTCTAAGATAAATCAGTAATCCTTCACACTACAAGACATTTGTAAAAGGATCTTTTCTATAGTTAGTAATGAGGTGATCAGAAATGTCCCAGCGATCAAAGAGCACTTGGTTGTTCTTCCAGAGAACTCTGGTTTGAGTCCCCACACCCACATACTCATTCACAACTACCTGTAATTCCAATCCCAGAGAATCCAATGCCTTTTTCTGGCTTCGGTCAGCACCAAGCCAGGCCTGCACATATGGCACAGACATACATGCAGACAAAACACCCACATTAAACATTTAAAAATTAATAATATAATTAGTAATGAGACTACTGAACATTCAGATGCAAAAGAAGGAATTTGAAATCCCTCACTGCAAATGCAAAATTCAAATGTCTCAAATGTGTGTACATACAAGACTGTCTTAGTTAGCCGGGTTTCTATTGCTGCAATGAAATGCTATGACCAAAAATCAAGCTGGGGAGTAAAGGGTTTATTTGGCGTACACTTCCACATTGTAGTCAGTCCATCAGTGAAAGAAGTCAGAACAGGAACTCTGACAGGGAGGAACCTTGAGGCAGGAAGTGCTGCTGAGGCCATGGAGAGGTGTTGCTTACTGGCTAGCTCTCCGAGGCTTGCTCATCCCAGGGGTGGCCCCACGCACAATGGACTGGGCTCTTCTACGTCAATCACTAATTCAGAAAATGTCCTATAAGCTTGTCTGCAACCTGATCTTATGGAGGCATTTTCTTTTTTTGTTTTTGATTTTTTTTTTTCGAGGCAGGGTTTCACTGTGTAGTCCTGGCTGTTCTGGAACTTGCTCTGTAGGCCAGGCTGGCCTCAAGAGTATCACAGAGATCCTCTTGCCTCTGCCTCCTGAGTGATGGGATTAAAGGCATGCACCACCATTACCAAACTGGAGGCATTTTCTTAATTGATGGCCCCTCCTCTCTGATAACTTTAGCTCCTGTAAAGTTGACATAAAACTATCCAGCACAAAGACCTAAAAGTAAAGCTCTTAGGAGAGAATATAAACAAATCTTCATGATGTATATTTGTTTTGTTTTGTTTTGTTGTTGTTGTTGTTTTTAAGATCCATTTATTTACTATGTATACAACATTCTGCCTCCATGTATGCCCACACGCCAGAGGAGGGCACCAGATCTCATCACAGATGGTTGTAAGCCACCATGTGGTTGCCGGGAATTGAACTCAGGACCTCTGGAAGAGCAGACGGTGCTCTAAACCACTGAGCCATCTCTCCAGCCCCCGTATATTTGTTGATTTTGCTTTTGGAGGCAGGGTGTTTATATTTGGCCCAGGCTGTCCTGGAACTCAGCTCTCGCAATGTCGGCCTCCCAAGTACTAGAATTTCAAGTTTACACGACCCCACCTAACTTGGATTAGATCAATTATGGATTTTCTTTTTTTTTTAAGATTTATTTATTTGTTATATACAGCATGTTTTCCTGCACACCAGAAGAGGGCATCAGATCTCATTACAGATGCTTGTGAGCCACCATGTGGTTGCTGGGAATTGAACTCAGGACCTCTGGAAAAGCAGTCAGTGCTCTTAACCTCTGAGCCATCTCTCCAGCCCCCCAATGATGGATTTTCAGATATGACACCAAAAGCAGAAATAACCAAAGGAAAACTGAAAATCTGGAGTTCATCAAAAGTTTAACTTTTGCTGTTCAAAAGACAGCAAAAAGAATGAAATATTTGAAAATAATACATTTGCCAAAGATCTAAAATCAAAATATATAGAGAAATCTATTACAACTCAGCAATAAAAAGACAACCTAATTTAAAAATGGCCAATAGGGCACATTTACTACAATTGGAAAGATACAGCAAAGATTACCATAGCCCCTGTGCAAGGCTGGCATGAAAATCCGTGAAGCAGTACATAGTCTTTTTTTTTTTTTTATATTTATTTATTTATTAGGTATACGATATTCTGTCTGTCAGGCCAGAAGAGGGCACCAGGCCCCATTACAGATGGTTGTGAGCCACCATGTGGTTGCTGGGAATTGAACTCAGGACCTTTGGTAGAGCAGGCAATGCTCTTAACCTCTGAGCCATCTCTCCAGCCCGCAGTACATAGTCTTTATGCTGAGGTCATCCCCACGCTGTAGGCCTCCATCAAGAACATCGAGTGAGAGGTCACCCTGACTTGTCCACTTCAGAGAGCTTTGTCTTTGACTTGCTTTGATGGTGGGTGTTTTACCAGCACCCCCAGGCCTAAGAAACAGTGCCTGGTCTGTTAATGATGACAATAAAGCAGACTCTGATTTTCTTTTTGGAAACTGTCCTGAGCCAGGCAGTGGTGGCACATGCTTTTAATCCCAGCACTCAATTTTGAGGCCACCGTGGTCTACAGAGCAAGTTATAGGTCAGGCTCCAAAACTACAACGAGAAACCCCACTCTGAAAAGCCAAATAAATAAATAAATGAAAATAAATACTGTCCTGTGGGCGTAGATATTTTCTCCATGAAAATGCACAAATGGAGGGTTGGAGAGATGGCTCAGTGGATAAGAACACTGCCTGCTCTTCCAAAGGTCCTGAGTTCAGTTCCCAGCAACCACATGGTGGCTCACAACCATCTGTAATGAGATCCGGTGCCCTCTTCTAGCCTGCAGGCAGACACAATACTGTATACATAATAAATAAATAAATCTTTTTTTAAAAAAAAGAAGAAAATGCACAAATGGCTATGAAAAGATGCTCACCATCACCTGCCACCACTGTCAAAAGGACAAGCGGCTCAGTGAGCATGGCTTAGCCTGTATTAGTGCCAGTCTATGCTGTATAAGGAGAACTTGTCAGGGGAAAACCAGCAATAACAACACGGACTAAAGCTTGTATGTGCCCAGGTCTGGGTTTGATCTCAAATACCACAAAAAAAAATTTTAAAGAAAATTACAAAGAGACACCACTTTACACCCACGGAGATGGCTAACTGTATGAAAGATAACCAGTAGTGCCAAGCCTATGCAGAAATTGAAACACATACACAGGTGTGTTTCAATTAAACTGTAAAATGTAACCATATGACCTAGCAATTCTTCTCCCACATACTCAAGATGCAAACATACAGCCACACAAAACCAAGTGCACAACGGTTCACACAACTTTATTCATAACAGTTGAATGTCGAGTAATAAATGGATGATTTAAAAAAAAAAACAAGGCCGGGCGGTGGTGGCGCACGCCTTTAATCCCAG